GCTCCCAGTTGGGGAGCTGCCCAGTGCTCCCAGTGCTCCCAGTTGGGGAGCTGATCAAACCAACCAGTGCTCCCAGTGCTCCCAGTTGAGGAGCATCCCAAGGCTCCCAGTTGGGGAGCAGCCCAAGCCAACCATCACTCCCAGTGCTCCCAGTTGGGGAGCTGATCAAACCAACCAGTGCTCCCAGTGCTCCCAGTTGAGGAGCTGCCCAAGGCTCCCAGTGCTCCCAGTTGGGGAGCTGCCCAGTGCTCCCAGTGCTCCCAGTTGGGGAGCTGATCAAACCAACCAGTGCTCCCCGTGCTCCCAGTTGAGGAGCTGCCCAAGGCTCCCAGTTGGGGAGCAGCCCAAGGCTCCCAGTTGGGGAGCAGCCCAAGGCTCCCAGTGCTCCCAGTTGGGGAGCTGCCCAAGCCAACCATCACTCCCAGTGCTCCCAGTTGGGGAGCTGATCAAACCAACCAGTGCTCCCAGTGCTCCCAGTTGGGGAGCATCCCAAGGCTCCCAGTCGAGGAGCTGCCCGAGGCGACCCCTCGAGCGCCCACCCCGCGCCCCCCACCGCCCCTCCAGCCCTCGCCCCGCCCCTCCCCGCCGTACCTGCCGCAGGTTGCGCGTGACGCGCACGTGGTGCCAGCCGCCGTCGTGGAACTTGCCGTTGACGGGCTCCACCAGCGCCTCGAAGGCGCCGGCGCCCAGGTTGATGACGAGCCACACGGCGCCGGCCTTGAGCGACAGGTTCAGGAAGTCGGCGGCGCGGCCGGTGTGCAGCAGGAGCCCGTGGCGCTGCCGCGTGCGGAACGCCAGCGCCAGCTCGTCCGCGCTGCTCTGCACCGGCGACCGCGACACGTCGTAGCAGAAGAACTCGCTGCCCCGGAACGTGGCCACGTACTCGGCGCGGCCTGGCGGGGGGGGGACGCGGCGTGGGGACGTTGAACGGGGAGGTTGGCGAGGGGGGTGCGCCATGGAGGGGTGTCGGTGGGTGCTGGTGCCAGGAGATGGGGAGGTTGTGACCAGGAGGCGTCATGGGGACGTCATCGGGGGATGGTGTGATGGGGACGTTGTCATGGGGACGTCATCGGGGGGATGGTGTGATGGGGACGTTGTCATGGGGACATTGTCATGGGGACATTGTCATGGGGACATCATCAGGGGGACAGTATCATGGGGATGTTGTGATGGGGACATTGTCATGGGGACGTCATCGGGGGGACGGTGTGATGGGGACATTGTCATGGGGACATCATCGGGGGGACGGTGTGATGGGGACGTTGTCATGGGGACGTCATCGGGGGGACGGTGTGATGGGGACGTTGTCATGGGGACATTGTCATGGGGACGTCATCAGGGGGACAGTATCATGGGGATGTTGTGATGGGGACGTTGTGATGGTGACGTTGTCATG